ATGTGGGCCCGAGGATATGTGGGGCCTACATGTCAATTAGCAGTACTGCATACCTTCCACCACACCAACACGAGGTGATGGATATGGTGGTGCAGACCTTCGGACACACTCCTGTTTAAATTCGTAACACTGTATTGATTAAATCTGGTTCTAGATTGCTATATGTTATAATTTTCTCAACATTTTTTGAAATAAGCACATCATAACATAACAGCTGTGAATTGAGCCCTAGTTAGATTGGATTTTTTTAACAAAAGAGTTTAACTTAATCGTTTCGGAGAAAAAAATACTACATCATCCGCATAGCGAGATACTACATATATGGTAAATTTTACTATAGAACATCGTGACTTCGTGGTTTTAGTTATAGGACACCGCACAAAGTAACTTTTGGAGAAAGACACTCTTAAAAGTTGAATATTTGCTGGTAGACACCGCACCCTTTAAAATAACAATTTCCGGTTAAAGAGGAAAGAGAAATCACGTGAAACATCAAAAGTACCAATGGACCCACATGTCATCTCTCCCTCTCTCTCTTCTCTCTCTATCCCCTCCTTCCAGCTAGGGACAGAGCAAATGATAGAAACAGAAGAGAGTATAAGAGAGCATCTGGGTCAAGGGCAAGTTTGATATTTCACATTATTTCTTTTTACTCTTCAACCGGAAATTATTATTTTAATGAGTGGGATGTCCACCAGCAAATATCCAACTTTTGAGAGTGTCTTCTTCCAAAAATCACTTCACGCGGTGTTCTACAGCTAAAACCGCGAAGTCACGATTTACTGTAACCAAATTTGCCTTGCATATATATACATTTAGGCTACATTCGAATCACCTCATGGATTGTAACTTATTAATTTGCCCTTCACATAAAATGAGGTAACTTAGTAGTACATGATTAATACTGTATTAATTTAAAAAACAAAAAAATAGATTAACATGGTTTTTCAAAACAACTTTAATCTATATTCTTTTTATTGTTTTTTTGCAAAAATGAGAGAGGAGAGGATGGAAACTCATAGTTCCGAACGCTGCCCGGCCGCGATCGAATCCCCTGTAAAGAGAGGATAAAGTTTTGGATATTTATGGCAATCTTTTCAAACTACTAATAATGTGTTTTGTGCGAAAACTTTCTATATGAAAGTTGTTCTAAAATATCAGATTAATCTATTTTTATGTTTGTAATAATTAAAACTCAATTAATTACACATTATTACCACCTCGTTTTGTGTGAAATACTTAATCTTCATCTTTATTTTTGTCTTCAGGAAATTCAAACACCACCTAAGTAATGGGTATATGATAGACCTGAAGACTGCTAGAAACATCGTCTGCTTACATAGTTGGATTACTACTAGTTTCCCAGTTTGGACGTCAGACACAGACGGCTGAACGATCTCTGACTGACTCAAACTGTGTGTGCTATATATAGTTGCCCCATCGCACGTTGTGGCTTACAAATTAATCAAGCTAGAGCAAGAAAAGATGGTGTCTCTTCCATCACTACTTCACAAGCCATTAGTGATGCCACCGCTACTTCTTATTCTAGTAGTCTGCTTCCATTTCCAGAGCCTATGCTGCCTTCCTTCTTCTGTGTCAGCTCAACTCCACAACGATTCCAATGCTGACCGGGAGGCCCTCCTCTGCCTCAAGTCCCAGCTCCATGACCCCTCAGGAGCATTAGCCTCTTGGAGAAATGAATCTTCTGCAATATGCATTTGGAATGGGGTTACATGTAGTGTCAAGAATCCATCTCGAGTCGTTGCGTTGGATCTTGAGTCACAGAACATCACCGGCCCAATATTTCCTTGTCTTGCTAACCTCAGTTTCATCTCCAGAATTCACATGCCTGGCAACCAACTCAATGGCCACATCTCCCCTGAGATTGGCCGGTTAATTAACACATCTTAGATACCTCAATCTAAGCATGAATTCCCTCACTGGTGAGCTACCGGAGACTATATCATCATGTTCCCTCCTTGAGATTGTCGACCTGTTTAGCAACTCCATTGAAAGTGAGATCCCTCCAAGTATTGGTCAATGTTCATTTCTTCAGCAAATTATTCTTGGCACCAACAATATTCGTGGAAACATCCCCCCAGATATCGGTTTGCTTTCCAACCTTTCTGCACTGTTCATTCCACACAATCAGCTCACTGGCACCATCCCACAACTTTTAGGGAGTAACAAACCACTTATATGGGTGAATCTCCAAAATAATAGCCTAAGTGGGGAGATACCACCTTCTTTGTTCAATAGCACTACCACGTCTTACATAGATCTGTCATCAAATGGTCTTTCTGGATCCATTCCTCCATTCTCCCAAGCTCTTTCGTCACTCCGATACCTTAGTTTAACTGAAAACCTCCTCTCCGGTAAAATTCCTATCACACTTGGTAACATTCCTTCACTGTCTACACTGATGCTTTCCGGAAACAAATTAGATGGGACCATTCCAAAGAGCCTAAGTAATCTTTCTAAGTTGCAAATACTAGATCTAAGTCATAACAACTTATCGGGCATCGTTCCACCAGGACTTTACACAATCTCGAGTCTTACCTATCTAAACTTTGGCGCCAATCGTCTTGTTGGGATACTTCCGACGAACATTGGCTACACCCTTCCAGGACTCACAAGTATAATATTTGAAGGTTTGAAGGACCAATTCCTTCTTCGTTAGCCAATGCTTTGAATCTCCAAGTAATATATTTTCGCAGAAACTCTTTCACCGGTGTTATCCCTTCTCTAGGATCCTTGTCTGACTTGACTTACCTAGATTTAGGTGGCAATAAGCTTGAGGCTGGAGATTGGTCTTTCATGTCTTCGCTGACAAACTGCACTCAACTAACAAATTTGTGGTTGGATAGGAACAAGCTGCAAGGAATAATACCAAGTTCCATCACCAACCTTTCAGAAGGCCTAAAGGTATTGATTCTAAATCAAAACCAATTGACTGGTAGCATACCTTCGGAGATAGAAAAACTAACTAGTCTCACGATCTTTCTAATGGATAATAACTTGCTTTCTGGCCAAATTCCTGATACAATTGTAAATCTCCAAAACTTGTCGATCCTAAGCTTATCTTACAACAAGTTTTCCGGAGTAATCCCTCAATCAATTGGAAAACTAAGGCAACTTACTAAACTTTATCTTCAAGAAAATGATTTGACGGGGCAAATACCTTCTAGTTTGGCAAGATGCACAACTTTAACTAAACTAAATATATCAAGAAATAAATTGTATGGGAGAATTCCACCAGAACTCTTTTCCATTTCTACACTTTCGGAAGGCTTAGACATGTCCTAGAATCAAATCACTGGACACATACCACTAGAGATTGGTGGATTAACTAATCTTAATTCACTTAATATCTCCAATAATCAATTATCTGGTGAGATTCCAACTAGTCTTGGTGAGTGCCTTGAATTAGAATCAGTCCACTTGGAGGGAAATTTCCTACAAGGGAGCATCCCAGGATCTTTTGCCAACTTAAAAGGGATCAATGAGATGGATCTTTCCCGAAACAACTTGTCTGGTGAAATCCCAGACTTTTTTGAGTATTTTGGATCTTTACACACTCTCAATCTATCTTTCAATAATCTTGAGGGACCTGTCCCTAGAGGAGGCGTGTTTGCTAATTCAAGCAATGTGTTCGTCCAAGGAAACAAAAAGTTGTGTGCAATTTCTCCAATGCTACAATTACCACTTTGCAAGGAACTTTCATCTAAAAGGAACAAGACATCCTATAATCTTAGTGTAGGAATTCCAATCACTTCCATCGTTATAGTCACATTGGCTTGTGTTGCCATCATCCTTCAGAAGAACAGAACTGGGCGGAAGAAAATCATCATCAATGATTCGATCAGGCATTTTAATAAACTCTCATACAACGATTTGTACAACGCAACAAATGGTTTCTCTTCAAGGAATCTTGTTGGTTCGGGAACATTTGGAGTGGTGTATAAGAGATTTTTTACCGTCCAACAAGACTAAGGCGGTACCAAATTTAGACCGTCGATCTAACACGATCGGACGACTGTCGAGAGACGAGTACCTCGCGGTACCACCGCTCACCCCGCCTGGTACTACTAGTCCAAAGGGTAAAAGTGGAATTTCGTGTTTAGCATAGTCGGGATCTCTCTGGTATTTTTTGCCGGAGGCAAGGGCATAACCACTCACCACCGAAGGCGAGAAGGAATCAGAGCAGGAACTGGGGACTAGATCCGGCTGCCCCAAGCCTGGGAGGTTCCAGATCCAGTCGTGCCGCCCCCGAGGACGCTGGTTCCAGCCTCGCGACGACACAGCGTCACCATCCCCACCCCTCCTCGACTCGACGGCATGCAGGAGCTCGAGGAGCAGCTGCCAGCATCCTCGCCGCACAGCGCTTCTCTCTTGCCAGCGATACAGATCCATCTGCTTGATTCGGAACCATCTTCCTTGATTATTTTTTCCTCTTTATTTTTCCCTGGCCGTCCATGGCGGTACCATCTCCCTTGATTTTCCCCTCTCGTCCTTTTTCAATCATGGTGTCCTCTCATAGATGGATGAAGCGCTCTGTACATGGATTCAGAGCACTAATCTCCAACTTGCACGGCACAGCTCCACAATGGATTCATTGTATTCAGATCACTTTCAGTCTTTGGCGTAGGGATTAATTACATTTGAAGGCTAGATTTAAACTGGTTAGCAAATCAAGTCAAATAAAGTTTATCTGACGATACATAGATTTACGGCTTCATCCCTCCATGTTGGTCGGCACCGCTCAGAGTAATTAGCAGTTAATCGACGGCGACGACGGATCAAGGAATAGGGTGGAAGAACGCCCAATGCTGCGGCGGCGCTGGCGGCCAGGAGGTGCCACCGGAGCCGGTGCCGTGGAAGAGCACTAATGCAGTGGCGAAGATTCTAGGACGGTGGTGACAAGAAGTTCACGAACACTAACGCATCAGAGTCGAAGCTTCCTTTCTTTTTTTCCCATCATGCCCCTGCTGATTTAATGGTTGGATTTAGTTTGGTACCTAGCAGTACCAGTACCTGGAGGTACCAATTGTTGGACTGTAAAAATTCTCATAAAAGGTCAATTGAAGTTTGGAGCTTGCAATGTTGCAATCAAAGTATTTAGACTTGACCAAAATGGAGCACCGAAAAACTTTTTTGCGGAATGTGAGGCCTTGAAAAACATTCGCCACCGGAATCTTATAAGAGTGATCAACCTATGCTCGACATTTGATCCATCAGGAAATGAATACAAAGCACTTATTTTGGAATATAGGATTAATGGAAACCTTGAAAGCTGGATCCATCCAAAAGTGCTCGGTCGAAATCCTACAAAACATTTGAGTTTGGGTTTAAGAATAAGAATCGCCGTAGACATTGCCGTGGCTTTAGACTATCTTCACAATCGATGCTCTCCTCCTATGGTTCATTGCGATCTGAAACCAAGCAATGTCCTTTTAGATGATGAAATGGTTGCATGTCTTAGTGACTTTGGACTTACAAAGTTTCTTCATAACAACATTATAAGCCTAAACAATTCATCAAGCACTGCTGGACTGAGAGGATCAATTGGATATATTGCTCCAGGTACGGACTTACTTCATTCTTATTTGTTCGTTTCTACTACCTCCACATTATCTATCACGGAGGTGATGGCAAGTATACCATTCCATGGAATCGAGTACCATTTTTCGACCAACAAATGCTTTACTAACTTGCTCAATCTTTATTGCAGAGTATGGCTTGGGGTGCAAGGTCTCAACTGAGGGTGATGTATACAGTTATGGAATTATTGTTCTAGAGATGATCACAGGAAAGTGCCCAACCGATGAGATGTTTAAGGATGGCATGAACCTTCGTAGCTTAGTGGAATCAGCATTTCCACATAAGATCAATGATATTTTAGAACCTACTATCACCGAACATCACGATGGCGAAGACTCAAATCATGTTGTGCCTGAAATTCTAACATGTGCCATACAGCTGGCTAAGCTTGGGTTAATGTGCACAGAGACATCACCAAAAGATCGACCGACAATTAATGATGTTTATTATCAGATCATTTCCATCAAAGAAAAATATCATGCACTGATCAATCACTGAGGAAATGGATGGATACTACTGAAGTTCGCCTGCTGAAGCTTGTAAGATAGTTTTGGTACTCATCTTTCAGTTTATAGTAGTAAAGATTATCTCTCTTTGATTTGAAATAAATCATGATGAATTTGTAATTAAATTGGTGTGAGCCAAACTGCAATATTAGTTAAATCATGACGAAGCACGCCTATGTTGTCAACACAATGCATCAGAATTAACTATACCAATCTGTAATCTTTGATATATAAACCCAATTTCCTCCAAATATTAACTGTACCAATCTGAATTTCCCACTAGAGAACCAATTTTGTTGCCCAGATGTTTGAGCTCAAGCACTCACATCCTCACATACTCGCGCACTCCAGAATCCAGAACAACACAACACACGCGGGAGGAGGACCGAAGCAGTCGTCGGAAGAAGGACATGCGGTGGTGCTATGTGGGGAAGATCATCAAGATTTTTTTTGTCTTCGGAATAATGCTTGTCGTCGGCATCGACAAGCCCATGCAGCTGCGGTTGTTTGCCGGCACACTTGCCCCCATCATTTGACCAAATACGGATAATACGTTATTCAACGTATAAGCAAAATAATAATAATAATTTATAGGTATAATTTTTATATATGCGTTTTAACGACTTGAATATCAATGCTGAGGAACAAACTTCGATGAAACAACTTGCTGTATGGAGAAACGATGTGGTCGACTGACAGTACTCCGATACTTTTCGGGGTGCAGGGGAGATCGGCATGATGGCGTGTTGCTGCGCACGAGCTGTCCCAGCTCAGCAAAGAGGACCGTCTGCCTGCAGCCTAATATATATGATTCCTTTTTCCCCTGAAAAAATCCGGAGTTCAGTGCGTTTATTTGTCCATATGAGTTCAGCAGCTCGATCTGTGCAGCTTATCCTATAGCTCGTCCATTGGACCATGGGAGAACCAACCATGTTCTACTTTTGTGTGTAATTTAACACTACGAAAATACGAATAGCTATAATTGACCATCTCGCGATGCCTCTTAAGGATCGGTGAAAAAGAAAATGCTTGGTGAATAATTGGCAACATGTTCAGTTAAAAAAAATGAATAAATTGGCAATATGACTGGAAAGTTTGTGTGGTTTGTTTTGCTGAATTTTTTTTTTCTATTGGTCTTTCTGGATTACGGCAATTCTCACGTCGGCTCCTGCTCTGTTCTCGGGTAGTCTGTTCTAGAGGACGCCCATATCAGACTTAGAAAAGTGAGAGAAGTTCTTCTTAATGGCAATAATTAATTGTACTACTTTCTGTTCGATCGAATCAGTGAAAATCATGTCTACTATTGTTGTCAGCAAAATGGACCGTATGACAACGATGGAGCGTGTGCCTTTGCAACTGATCATGCCCTTTTGTGAACAAGACCGACGAAATCAGTTAACCAGCTACATCGACAGCAATATTATTGGTGGTCTCTCAGCCATCTGAATTGATCAACATGTCTTCAGTAGGATTGCCAATATCATTGAGTAGAGAAAAGTCATTTAATTTCCAACTGACTTCGAGTGTCCTGTTACACACATGCTATTAAATTTGTGTTTTTTTTTTCAGTTCTCAAGGTTTCACGTTGTGACTGAGTTTATTTTCTGTAAATTAATAAATCATTAATTAACTCATGTTTGAACAATTACAATGTCCTGAGAGGTAGCATGAAGCAATTCATAATGTCGTTGACTGGATATCGGACATAATCGTGCCCTTCATCTTCAAGGGTAACCAAGCTGTATTTATAATTCAAGGATCACCTTGGATTTAGTTTGGATTTTAGTTGAATCCCTTTCTGGCTATTTCCACTCCGAAAAGGATCGGACATATATCTACCTATCCAAAAAAACAAGACCAGAGAAAAGAAAGGTGCAAACCATTCCATCTTTCCAAGCTGACATAAAACATAGGCATATGAAGCATTGGGAGTATTGTACATGGATGGACACACTGGTGCCGTTTTCGCAAGATCGTTCGGTGTAGCAAACGAAAGGGATGAAGCTGAAACTAGAGATGTGAGACTTGACTCTAACCATAGAATTGTAAGCGTGCTCTTCCATCATCAACTTGGTCGGATACTATCTGTTGAGTAGTTTTACTATCCTCACCTTTGATCCTCATTCATCTTGCCAGCATCAGAAATCTTGCAGCGACCGACGACTCCAGCTTAAGATGCATTTTTGGATGTTGAGGCTGCTCATTAATCAGCCAGTGAACTCTATTGTAGTATAGTAGAGGGCAAGGGTGGTCGAATCAGGAGACCTTTGAAATTGAAACATAATTAGTCATTGTACTACTCTTTTATCAACCAAATCTGTAAAGGAAAGCTGAAGGCCTTTGTACATGTGGCTGTGTCAGTAAGCAAAATTGGCCATTTCACAAAGATTAGCACGTGGTTATGCTAGCTAGTGATCATGCCCCTTTGTCCAAAAACAAGGATAAAGTTAACGACTAATTAATCACTTATGTATTCTCCTGTCAAAATTTTATTAAGTGGTTGTTGGAACAATCTGGAGCAATAAATGCATAGAATCAGTTCCATGCATCTGTAAAAACTACCAAGCTCATTATTTTCAGTCATTTAGTTGAGAAAATTGCCTACAAGATATATATATCCCTCCCTATCAAACTTGTATGTGACCAGAAAGAAAATAATGCATGTCGTGATCCCATTTGTCCATGTTGGAAAAAAAGAAAAACATATGCATGTGAAGCATCAGGAATGCTGGAAATGGATAGGCATCTTGCTAGATCTCTTCAATGATCTGCTACCCTGATGTTTAAGCTCGAGTAGTCACATACTCACAAAGGCAACTAGCAAAGGCCAAAGAGTGTGGTGTGAAGCTGCAGTTACCTGCGACGCAAAGGTACACATAATGTTAGTGCGTCGGTGACTATTGCTCATTTTCGCATGACATCTGCTGCGTGCTGCATAGCTGCCCTGCGCATCCATCAGAGGAAGCAGTTGATCCGCGGTAGTGTCCCCGTCGGATACGAGAGGCAAGGGCCAGGCTCCTTAGGGGGTAGGGGTGTAAGCGGGTCAACCCACGAACCCATTTATAGACAAGATTAGTTGGTAATCCACGGGTTCCTAAATGGGATCTGTAAATGGGTTTATAGATCAACCCACTTGCATCTTAAGGCGCGGCAAGTTGAGTCATGACATAAAAACCAGTGGGTTACCATTTATTTGATACTCCCTCCATATTTTAATGTATGACGCTGTTGACTTTTTGACCAACGTTTAACCATTCGTTTCATTCAAAAATTTTGTGCAAATATAAAAATATTTATGTCATGCTTAAAGAACATTTGATAATGAATCAAGTCACAATAAAATAAATGATAATTACATAAAAATTTTTATTAAGACGAATGGTCAAACGTTGGACAAAAATCAACGGCGTCATAAATTAAAATATGGAGGTAGTATATAAGTAGATTCATGGGTTGGCCCTCTTACATCCCTACCTAGGGGGCAGAGTCTTCATTACTCACAGTCACAAGTAGTTTTGGATTGGAATGGGCGATGCAGTGGCTCTGTCTTAGTTGCATCCAAATGCAGCATATTGAGAGCCTGTCTTCTTTGTTGAAATTTTTGTTCTTATTTTTTTGCTAGGGACTGAGTAAAAAAAAGGAGCACCAACAAACTTTTTTGCTGAATGTGAAGCAATGAAATAAAACATTCACCACCGGAATTTTATAAGAGTAATCAGCCTATGCTGAACCTTTGATCCATCAGGAAATGAATTCAAAGCACTTATTCTTGAGTTTAGGACTAATCAGAAGCTCGAAAGCTGCAGGATCCATCCAAAAATGTGGTGTCAAAGCCCATAGATATGTTTGAGTTTGGGTTCAAGAAATAGAATAGCGGTAGACATTGCAGTTTGCATTCACTACTACAAGAACCCTCAAAGGGATGGGCCTTATACGTGCCGGTTCCTTTAAAACCGACACCTACAGGCCTTTTCCGCCTCCGCACGCGGAAAAAAATAAGAACCAACATCTTTAAGTCACTATAGGTGTCGGTTCATTAATAAAAACCGGTACCAATACTATAGATGCCGGTTTATTAAAAAACAGACACCTACACCTATACAAAACGAGCCGAGCCGATGAGCCGAGCGCCGTATGTTGTCCTTATCTACTCCCACCCACTGACCCACGTCGCGTCGTCCTTGTGCACTCCCTCCCGCGTCTCTCTCCCTCTCATGTCTCTCTCCCTCCCCTCTCTCTAGTGACGAGGCTACCTCCATCGCTGGCGGCAAGCTCCCGATCGAGGCGGGCGGATGCCTGGCGGAGGTGGCGGTTGCTGCGCCCTCCCCTCCGCCAGATCCGGCGGGAGGGGAGGTGAAGGTCTCCCGCGGCTGCCCGGCGGTGGCGGCGGGCTCCCGAGGTTGGCGGCGGCCCGGCGGAGGCGGCAGCTGCCGTGCCCTCCCCTCCGCCAAATCGGCCGGAAGGGGACACGGCGGTCTCCCGCGGTCCGACGAAGGCGGCAGCGGCGGCGGCGCTCCATGGATGAATTTAATAAAACAAATTATATATTTCGACTGTAAACTGCGAGATGAATTTATTAAGCCTATTTAATCTGTCATTAGCAAATGTTTATTGTAGCATGACATTTTCAAATCATGGCGCAATTAAGCTCAAAAGATTTTTCTCGCAATTTACATACAAACTGTGCAATTGGTTTTTTTTCACATTTAATGTTCCATGGATGTGTCCAAACATTTGATGTGATATTTTAGGCAAAAAAAAATTTGAGATATCTAAACACACCCATAAATTTGGAGTCTTGGACCTACAGCGTGAGTGACATCATTCAGTATAAGACACGCAACGTTTGGCCAAAAATTTTTGAGATCCAAACATTTGTAGTGCTCTCTCTACTGAACCTACAACGTGCAAATCATAAGCAGCTTATGTTAATTATGGCATCATTCAGTATGAGACACGCATAGGGCTGAGAGAATCAGGAGAATGTGACAACCATTTGCATAGGTTCTTAGTACGAGTTAGCAAAGTAAAAGCCCTAGTTATCATTCCAGAACATACATGGGCATCGTGTGATCCTCTGCGGTGCATGGCGAAGGAGGAAGTCGATGCAGGCTCATCCAACGCGGGTATCGAGTCAAGTACTGAAGACTATGGAAGACTATGGATGCAAGCGGGCCAACCCGCGAGTTGACTTTTAGGTTAAATTAATGATAATTCATAAATAAGTCAAATTAATAGGTAACCCGCTGGTCCAATCCGCAGGTTAGATACTAATTTTGTCTATAAACGGGTTTACGGACAAGCCCACTTACACCCCTACTGAAGAGACTTGTTAGTACATGTTTCTGCCTTTCTGCTACTTGAAACATGATCATATCTGCTAAATTAAAATTCGAATTTAAATAGGAACAATGCATTTCAATTTTCCTCCCTGTGTGATGGATCTGGATTATATAATGTTGTAATCGCTATGATTGTATATGATATAGTTTTATGCCTATAAATGAAAAAAAGAGATTTGTAAATACATTATTTGTACATCAAATTGTTGTTGAGTTCACGTAGCTCAATCATTTTCCCACTTGCCTGGGACCGCAACATCAATATAGTGCTATCATATATCGATGGTATAAAATGCAGCAGGATAGCGTGTGAGAAAAAAAAGTAATAATTTATCCAGGTCTAAAATAATTTATCTAGATACTTTTTCTTTTCTAAAATAATTGTATTTCTAGATACTTAGAAATTGTCCCAAAATAATTATCTCTACA